GTTGTTGCGGATCATATTTTGAGGCTGCTGTTGTTGCTGTTGAAAGATATTTTGTTTTTGTTGAGGCAGCTGTTGCTGAAACGTTTGTTGAGAAAATTGTTGCTGATTTTGTTGGTTCAGTTGCGGCCGCTGTTGTAGTTGTTGCTGCGGTAGTTGTTGTTTTGGCGGAAATTGTTGCTGTTGAAAATTTTGTTGTTGTTGAGTTATCTGTTGTGGTACTTGTTGCGGTATTTGTTGATGCTGTTGTTGTTGCGGAGCTCCTTGCATTCTTACCTGGTTGCCAAGTTGCTGATTCTGCAAATTGAATTGCTGTTGCGGTTGTTGGTATTGCTGCGATTGAAAATTTGGTTGTTGCTGTTGTTGTTGTTGAAACAATTGTTGTTGTTGTGACGGTGGTCGTATTTGTTGGTTAGCTGATGAGTATGTGCTGATGTTGTTCATTTGTTGTTGCTGCTGCTGGCTTGGTTCGTTGTATCTCATTGCAAACCGTTGTTGTTGCTGTTGAAGGGTTTGTTGATTTTGTTGAAGAAACTGTTGTTGTTGAAAGTTTTGTTGTTGTTGCGGTTGAAAGGGTTGTTGTTGTTGTTGAAGATTCGATTGTTGTGGAAGCATGGTTTGTTGAGTCATCAGGTTTTGTGTCATTGGTCTAAATGGTGGTATTTGATTTGGAAACTGTTGTTGTTGTTGTTGTTGTTGTTGAGGTGCCGATGACATGAATGTTGCTTGTTGTGGTGGCTGGTTGCGTATGCTCTGTTGATTAGCAAAGAAATTGGTTGCAGGCTGTTGTTGTTGCTGCAACTGTTGCTGATGTTGCAACTGTTGTTGATGTTGCAACTGTTGCGGATGTTGCAACTGTTGCGGATGTTGCAACTGTTGCGGATGTTGCAACTGTTGCGGATGTTGCAACTGTTGTTGCTGGCCCCCTACCTGTGCTAGTTTTTGTTGAAACGGTAATCCTTGATGAAAAGCCGATCCAGTTTGAAATGCTGGAGGCTGCATATCACTAGACAACATACCGGGGCTACTGTTAATAATGCTATTCGGCATGATGGCGATGTCCTGCAAACAATAGGCCGGTACAATACCGAAAGAACCGTTTCTTTCGGCTCGGTAGTATCCGTTTATATCGACTTTACCATGCACCGTCACTACATCGCCGATTCTTAAGGGCAGACCCGGCTAGAGATGAAAAGAAATATTAATTTGTATAAAAAATTATTAATTCTTTGTTTTCATTATCACCATAACATCATCATCGTCATCATCATTCATATCAGCCGCATCATCATCGTCATCATTATCATCATCATCGTAATCATCATCAGCACTAACTTCCACATCTCTGTTTGGAGCGTGTATCATTGGGTCGAAGTTTTGTATTGCCACCATCTGTCTGGCCCCTGAGACGGTGACGAAGACGACGAAGATGAGGATGATGATGATGATGATGGTGCTTGTGATGATGTTGATTTCAATTACGATAATGATTTATGAAGAAATCAAAGTCACAAATCACAATGATGATAGCTAATTAAAACCTGGAAAAATATGGCATTAAATTTACTGGAATTTTTAAAATAAAAAATTTTAATCCGCCAAAAAACAAAAACTTGCCAGAAAAGTTTCCTCCATAGTAGGCTGCCCCGGGCCCAAAATCAGCATCAAAACTTCCCCCACCACCACCACCAAAAAATCCGCTGCCGCTACCACCACTACCACCGAATCCAAACTGCCCGGAAGAAAATTTGTTAACGGATCTCTGACTGGGTAAGGTGTTCCACTGTGCCTGGGTTCGATCGCACGCTGATCTCCTTTGAGACGCACTTGAAGGGTCGTCAATTTCTGAGATCATGTTGCTTGGAACGAGGCCTCTACTGCCGTCGCTCAGCTCGCCTCTGTAGAAGCCGTCGCCATCTTTCGAACCAATCACCTTTTGTTTGGTGATGACGTTGATGATGACGTCATAATGAAGATGATGACGAGGACGTCATAATGGCGAAGAAGAAAAGTACAAATGATGACGCTGATGATGACGTCATAATTATGATGATGATGAGGAGCAGCGTGGTGGAGAAAAAGAAGAGGAAAAAGAAGAGGAGGAGGAAGAAGAAAATGATGATGCTGAAGATGATGAGAAGGACTATGACGATGTCAACAATTGTGATGACGATGACGACGACGATGATGATGATGATAGTAGTGATGATAGTGTGGGGACGACTATGAGTAACCTTAATTATCTGCCCCTCTTTAAAGGCGAGTTCCTCTCTCACCGCGTCAGGGTTGGGCGACATGGTTGCTGGATCGTAATCAAATAAAGCCAAAAAATACCGACTGCTACGATTCGCTGGCCGCCTAGGTACATCCCTATTCACGGATCTAACAAAAAGTTAGTGTGTAGTGTTAATAGTTAATCTTACCTTATAATAATAATACAATACGACGTTGTTAAAAATTCAAATTTAAAAATAAAGTCAACGAAATTAGACCGATATTCATACTTCGATCGTCTCGGCATTGATGACACTCCATCAAACATTCTACTTGACTGTCTGCCTCTTTGCTGCAACTGTTGTTGCTGCTGCTGTTGCTGCTGTTGTTGATGTCTCGTGTTGTTGTTGTTGGTTGGTGGTTCTTCGTAGCTCGAATCTGAAACCGTATCTCGAGGAGGCATTTGGTCTTGAGAGGCCAACAATTTTGTTGTTGGTGATGATGATAGTAATGATGATAGTGATGATGATGATAGTGATGATGATAATAATAATCACGATGATGATGATAGTGAGGATGATGATGATGATTGTGATGGTGGTAATGATGTTTGTAGCAGGGGTAATGATGATGATGATGAGGAACAAGCAGTTCCATTCCATATTAATGCTTCGTCACGATCATAGCTCACCATTATTATTATTTTTATTATCATCATCATCATAATCAAAACATCTTCATCATCATCATAACCAACCTCTACTGCCACTCCAATCGTTAGCAGCCTCATTAGCAGCTACAGCCGCTGCAGAAGCGCTGCAATACTGTTTCGCGTACGGGATCATCGAATAATGCACGTCCGTCATATTGCTGCTGTTGTTGTTGCCAGATTTTAAATTTGTTTTTCTCTCTAAAGGGCTTAATTGTTGAGCGCTAAATCTCGCCTCAAAATTGCCTGATTTGTAATCTTTCCTGTCGACGTTGTTGCTGCTGTAGTAAGGTAGGGCTGCAGTAGGCGAGATGATTGTTGTTGTTGATGCAGTCGCTGTCGATGTCATGATGTTCTCTACGTAGACCTCCTGTTGTTGTTGTCATCGTTGTTATTGTTGTGGTTGTTGTCGTTGTGGTTGTCGTTGTGGTTGTCGTTGTGGTTGTTTGCTTTAATTGTTTTTGTTATCACTGTCATCTTCTTCACCATCATCGCCAACAACAACAACAACATCATCACATCGTCACCATCTCACGAACAACAACAACAACAACACCCATTTTAACCTTCAAGCACAACTCAGAGAGATGCTTAGCAGTCAAGACGTAAGAAGCTGAGTCGAGGGATTCATAGTTGTGAGTCTTCGAGCGGATGGTCAGATGGCGCGGATGGGGAGTGTCCAGAAAATCTTCAGACTCCAACAGCACGTGATCGCCTGGCGGGGGATATTATGAGTGAAAGAACAATTTACTCATTCATTATTGGATTCATTCATTCATTCATTCATCCATTCATTCATTCATTCATTCATACATTCATTCATTCATTCATTCGTTCATTCAGTCGTTCGTTCGTTCGTTCGTTCGTTCGTCCGTCCGTCCGTCCGCCCGTCCATCCATCCATCCATCCATTCATTCATCCATTCACCCATTCATCCATCCATTCACTCAACTGACCAGTTGGACTGTGCAGTTCTTTTATCTTTTTTCCATTGACGTAGATACCGTAACCGCTTATCGACGAGTTGGGGGCTCTACCGTTTGGTTTCACAGGGGCCCACATAACCAGGAGTGTACCTGTGTGTGTGTGTGCGTGCGCGTGTGTGTGTTTTTATTTGTTTGTGTTTGTGAAGTCTATTGAAGGATTTGAAGAGTTTTGCCGATAAGTAAGAATAGCAGGACAATGTTTTAAATGTTTGTTATCTTAATGAACAACAGCTTATATACATACGCGTGAACATACAAACAGACATACAAACAATTATACAAACAATTATACATACATACATACATAGAAACAAACAAACAAAGATACCCTGTCTTGGACCCGATTCAACTTGTAAATCAACCGGTGCATCTGGGATTTCTGGCGAATAAACAAAAAATTGAAAATAAAATTTTTTTTATTGATTTACCTAACCCTTCATTCATTTATTTATTCATTCATTCATTCATTTATTCATTCATTCCTTGTTTCATTCTTTAATTCGTTCATTCGCTCGTTCGTCTAATTAATCCATTTATTCGGTAGTTCAATTACATCGTCTGTTTTTTCCTTCATTCATTTATCAACTCATTCACTCAATATTGATTTGTTTATTCACTCATTAAAACACTCATTCATTCACTCATTCATTTACTCATTCATTCATTTATTCACTCATTCATTCACTCATTCATTCACTCATTCAGTAGAAACCTGAAGGTAACGTTTTAAATGTCAGGCAGATCTTCGTCGAGCCAGCGCATGCGTTGTTAATTCTCGGCTGTATTGAGATGCTGTGCCTCGTATCGGCAGTCAATCCTGATGATGATTGTGGTGATAGTGATGATGATTGTGATGATGACGACGATGATGATGATTGTGATGATGATGATGATGATGGTTGTGATGATGACGATGATGATGATGGTTGTGATGATGACGATGATGATGATTGTGATGACGATCATCATGATGATTGTGATGATGACGATCATGATGATGGTTGTGATGATAATGGTGGCGATCATAATGATGATGATGATGATTGTTTAATTCACAGGCACCTGTAACAATACACCTGTAATTTCCGGCTCTGATCAGAGCCTTGCACCTTCCGTCGGCCAGGATCACGTGATCAAGGTTGCTATCGGTCGGCATCCACGTGACCTCCACCGTCGATGACGTCACGTTTGTCACCCGGAAGTCGCTTGGGGAGTAGTTGACGCCTTCGTGGAAAAAATCAGTGGATGGAATGACGGCTTCAGTGAATGAATGAATGAGTGAAATATGTTTAAAAGCAAATATTGAATGAAAATGAAAAAGTGATGGTAGCAAGGTATATATATATATATATATATATATATATATATATATAGAGAGAGAGAGAGAGAGAGAGAGAGCAACATTAACAGCATCAACAACAACAGCACCAACAGCCACAACCACAACAGCAGCAGCAGCAGCAGTGGCAGCAACAACAGCCACAACAACAACAACCTGTGCCGATGAGAATAGTGCATTGAGCATCATTTGATTCCGATCTGTCGCTATATATGCATCTAACAGATATGCGGTGAATCTGTATTCATGTGCGTGTGTATGTGTGTGTGTGGTTGTGCGTGTGTATGTGTACGTGTGTGTGTATGTGTGCGTGTGAGTGTGTGATCAATTATTCAATTAATCATTCAATCAGCTAATCAATCATCCAACCTTTGCTAAATCAATTCTTTCAAGGAGGGCCTTCGTTCGTTCATTAGCATCAACCAAACACTGCAGATGCCCGTTTACAAAAACGCTGTAAGACTTCAAAATGGCGGAGGACGTAGTTGCTAGCTGCTGTGAGAAGCTGGTGGCTGATAGCTGCTGCGAGTAGCTGCTAGACGCTAGCTGCTGTTGCGTATAATTGGTTGCTGGTAGTTGCTGACGAGTGAGAGAATGAGATGAGTTAAGGAGAGGAGGTTGCCAGGAGATCATCACACTGTTCGCCAGTTGGCGATCTACTTTCAAGTCTCGAGGAAAACCTGGTTCAAATGCACGCGTGGGCATAACAGGAAACAAATGTACATGTATGCATGCATGTAAACATAAATGCATTTATGCATGCATACATGCATTCATTCATTCATGCATACATTCTTTCATATATATATTCATACATCTATAAAATCAATAATAAATCAATAAATATATTCAACTGTACACACACACCTACATGTATACATTCCTACATACATACATACATATATACATACATACATACATACATAATAATACATACATACATACATACATACATACATACATACATACATACATACATACATACATACATACATACATACATACATACATACATACATACATACATACATACATACCTGGTTCTTTCGGATCAATAAGTTCGCATATAGACATTTCAACATTAGGCGGAGCGATCTGTTGATGTTGTTGCTGTTGTTGTTGCTGTTGATATTGTTGTTGTTGATGTTGCGAGTCTTGCAATAGTTGTTGCTGCTGTTGTTGTTGCAACAGTCTAAGTTGTTGTTGTTGAATTTTCTTTGAATCTTGCTGCTGGCAAACTTTTGAATAAAAAAAACCAAAAACATATTTTTATGCTGCAACTCTTGCTACTACCATTACCACTACCACTACTACTACTACTAATAATAATAATAAAAAAATTAATAATATTAATAGTAATAATAAAATAATAATAAACCTAAGTCTGGGGGTGTTGTTTGTTGTTGTTGTTCGAACGATTTCGGTGTTGAAGACAAGATTTGTTGAACAACCATGGAGGATTTTATTGCTAGTATTGTATCGTCTGAGCGTTTGTTTGCAAATTTGTATGTGTCTATGTACGTATGTATGTGTATATATGTATGTATGTGTGTGTATGTATGTGTGTGTGTGCGTATGTATGTTTGTACGGGTGTTTATGTGTTAGTGTATATATATATACTATATATATATATATATATATATATATATATATATATATATATATATATATATATATATGAATGTGTTTGGATGGATATAAATGTGTGGACATGAGTGTGCGTGCATGAGTGAATTATGGATCTAACGTACTTGAGGGAGCATGAATATGCTTCGAACGGTAAACTTTTTACGGTAAACTTTCAAAATGAAAATGAATGTGTGTGATAGTTCTTTTACGGTAAACATTTTATAAAAATAGAATTTGTTTTGTAATAGACTTTCTACGATAAATTTTTCATAATGAGTTAATAACATCATGATTCTCGCATTTGCCTATGTAATGATCCTTTAACGATAAACTTTTAAAATATGCCAAAATTGATATTTGAATTTGTTTCTGTAATGAACCTCTACTGTGAATTTGTCATGTCGATTCAATCTTTATTTATTTAATTGTCATGGGAGGCGAACATTATTTAATTTTGAGATGCAAATGTATAAATTTTTGTGACGTATGTTCGCGTGCACGAATTGCCATCATTTTTAATTTCTTCATTTTCAATTAACTTTGTTGAATTTTTTGTTGAACTTGGTTGAAAGGACAACTTTAGTTAAGGCACTATCACAAGTATGTGATTTGTTTACTTAATTATGTTTACTTTTTTTGTGCTTCTTCCAATAAATAAATAAATAAATAAATATATATATATATATACGTTTGTATGAAGGTAATATGAACGACGTTTGTATGTGTGTACGTATGTGTGTTTGTATGTGTGTGTGTGTTTGTTTGTATATTTTTTTGCATTTGTGTGTGTATGTACGTGTTTAAAACCAACCTGGAACTTTCTCAACAAAGTTTGACGGCACAAATCCCTTCCTTCCATCCATCAACTCGCCACTGAAGAAGCCATCCTGAATTTGTAAGGAAAAAAGAGTTATGATATGATGATGCTGATGATGATGCTGATGATGCTGCTGCTGATGATGATGATGCTGCTGCTGCTGATGATGATGATGCTGCTGCTGCTGCTGATGATGGTGGTGGTGGTAGTAGTGGCGGTGATGGTGATGGTGGCGATTGTGTTTTATCCCACAAACTTCGTCCGGCTCCCCATAGATGAATAAATAATCTCCGCAATCGAAACTCAACTCGAGATCGGGGTTGTCATTCGGCGAATATTCGGTTGGATTGTACCGGTATTTGGCCTGGTAGATCTCAAATGTTGTCGATGCTGTGGCTGCCGCTATGGCTGCTGTGGACGCTGCTGCTGTAGCTGCTATCGGTGTTGTTGCTGATGTCGTAGTTGGTGTAAGGATATTTTGATGTTGTTGCTGTTGTTGTTGTTGGAGGTGGAACTGCTGCAAATGAATTTGCTGTTGTTGTAATTGTTGTTCAATTGTTAATGCGGTCGTGTGAGCGATCGGACGCGAAGCCGATGGCGATGATGAAGAGGATGACGGCGATGATAGTTGCAGTTGTTGTTGTTGTTGCTGATGTATTTGTTGTTGTTGGAATGGTAGTTGAATGTTGAAGGCTGATGTGGTCGATTTGGTTGGACTTGGTGCTGGCTTGTTTTGTAAATCTGGACCTAATGAGATAGACATTGTTGTTGTCGTTGTTGTTGTTGTTGTTGTTGATAATGTTGTTGATGTCGTTGTTGTTGTTGTTGCTGTTGATAATGTTGTTGATGTCGTTGTTGTTGTTGTCGTTGTTGTTGTTGTTGCTGTTGATAATGTTGTTGATGTCGTTGTTGTTGTTGATGTCGTTGCTGTTGTTTATCGTTCTTAAATCACTTCAACAATTTTTTATCATGATGGTAAGAATGACGACGATGGGGCTGATGTTTATTCCTGTTGGATACGAAACAGCAAACAGCACAACCACTACTTGTCACCCAACTTCCAGACTTATTGTTTATATTATTATTGTTACTATTGTTACTCTCATTGACTTCGTTGTTATTGTTGTTGTTGTTATTATATCTTTCTTCATAAGCGTTCTTTGTCATTTTGGAATCATACATTCTATCTGGTTGAAATTGTAATTAAGAGATGATTAGCCTAACCCTTTAATAAAATAATAATAATAATAATAATTATAATTCTATACCAACACCCATTCTTCATATGTTATTCTACTTTAAGGAAGGTGAACGTTGTCTTTAAAAAAAAATATTAAAAGATGAATACTCCTTGAAAGTTTAGTGTGAACTGACAGTCAATATAAAATTATATATATTTTATATGTATGTGTATATGTATGTATGTATGTATGTATGCATGTATGTATGTATGTATGTATGTATGTATGTATGTATGTATGTATGTATGTATGTTTGTATGTATGTATATGTATGTATATACATACATACATACATGCATAGTATATATGTACGAACATATACTTCCACATCATCGTCATCATCACGTTGGCTATGTGGAATGTATATGCACGTTTTAAAGAATCAATACCTTCTTGTAATACACAGATGTATGTGCGTATAATGTGTGTATGAATGTTTGTGTGTATGTATCTGTTTGTGTGTGTGTGGGTATGTTTGTGGGTGCACACTTACGTGTGTGTGCATATGTGTGTGTTTATTTTGGGTTGCGTGTGCATTTTTGTTTTCTGTGGTTTTATCTTTTGTTTTCTTGTATTTCATCAATCAATACCAAGTTATAATACACAAATTTTGTGCCTATTTAAGCGTGCTTGTTTATTTTTGTTGGTGTGTATTTGTGTGTGTAACTGTGTTAATATAGATGTATATATTATTTTTTGTACTATATTTTAGATATGTTTAAATAGATTCCAAAGTACCCTAATTTTTAGTATTCAAACAACTATTATGTTTATATAAACAATATTGGTTTTCTATAGTTTTAATTTCTTTGTCTTAGCACAGCGTTCTATCTTTTCTGCTAAGGTCACCATTTAAATTACACTCTTTTTTGTAAACAAGTTAGGCAGTTTTATCCGCTTACTGTTTGTTTCGCTACGTTAGGAGGCGTTTTTATATTTTTTTAAATTTTTCTATCTTTTATTTATTTTATTTTTGATTGTTTAGCTGCGAAGTTGAAAACAGTAGAATGCTTAATTTAATGTGGAATTTTTTATTATGTGGTTACTTGGTTATTGTTTTTAGGTTATTGACTGGTATTTCAATTCAATCATCTTTCGGATTTCACGTTTCATTGCATTTTTGAAATATTATCACGTCTATGTTTTTTAATTCTTCACAGATTCCCTGAAAAATCACCAGTTTTAAAAAAGGAATATTTCTAAAGATGTTACGAGTCCCAAAGCTTATTTCGCCTCACAAGGCGGCCAATGCCATTGAAATATCATCCCCATTCATAAAGCGTCAAATAATGATAACGTTAGTCAGGGCCGCATCCTCATCAACTCACTTTTCGTTTACTTCTCCGACTTCATTCACGGCCAACCTTCGCTACAAACTCAGCTCAAAACTGCCGGAGAAAGTGGTGGATTACGTTGATAAGTGTGCTTCAATTTGCCAGCCAGAGACAGTTCACGTTTGTGATGGGTCCCAGAAGGATCAGGTGCACATCTTTAAACTGATGAGGAGGCAGGGTGTTGTTAGGCCACTCATCAAATATGATAACTGGTTAGTAAAACAAGATGGCTGTTAACATTCATTACCATATTTTAATTATTATTATTTCATTTGTAAATTAGTTGTTGTTGTTTTTAATTACTTGGTCTTATGACCTTTATTGCCCTTCTGCAGCTGGGCAGCCCGATCGGACCCCCAAGATGTAGCTCGCATAGAACACAAAACAGTTACAGTGAGCACAAACAAGAGGATGTCGGTTCCAATTCCCGTCGACGGTCACAAGGGAAGTCTCGGTAACTGGATGTCCATGAAGGACATGGAGATTGCATTCAAGAATCGATTCCCTGGCTGTATGAGAGGTTGGTTGGCTTTTTCAGAAAAAATTGTTCGGGTGTGTATAAATAATTGTTACATTAAAATTTATCATTAACACTTGTTGAATCAGGTCGTACGATGTACGTCATTCCATTTTGCATGGGTCCTTACGGCTCTCCTATGTCTCGAATTGGCATCCAACTAACTGACTCTCCTTACATCGTGGCAAGCACCTACATCATGCTTAGGGTGGGCAGTCAAGCCCTAGAGGCCCTTGGTAATGGGGAATTTACAAAGTGTCTGCATTCTGTTGGAGATCCTCTGCCATCGCATAGTCAGTCTTGTTCGGGAGGGATGTTGAATATTTGCGAATTCGTGTTTGTGTTGGACCACATGGATCATTAAATAATGGGAATAACCAACATTATGGAATAAATTTGTAGGAAAAACGGTAAATAACTGGCCGTGCAATCCCGAGAAGACACTTGTTGCGCACATTCCCGAAAACAACGAGATCATTTCGTTTGGCAGTGCATATGGTGGAAACGCCATGCTGGGCAAGAAATGTCTCGGTCTGAGGTTGGGGAGTGTCTGGGCGAGGGACGAAGGCTGGCTGGCTGAGAACATGATGGTTGGTACCTTGTTCAATCGATTGGCTGGCTGTGTGACTGACTGGTTGATTGATTAACTCATTGAAATATGAAAATATACACTTCTGTCACTATAAAAATTCTCATCTCTAAGATTGTTGGGGTGACGAACCCCGAAGGTCAGAAGAGGTACATAGCAGCTGCATTCCCCGGCTCGTGTGGCAAAACCAACCTGTCCATGCTTCAACCCACACTTCCTGGCTACAAGGTGGAGTGTGTGGGTGATGACATTGCTTGGATGTGGTTCGATGATGAAGGCCAGATGAGGGCTATCAACCCCCAAGCTGGGTTTTTTGCTGTGGCACCAGGTCGGTTGGTTGGCTGTCTGGCTAGTTGGATGGCTGGTTGGCTGCTTTGTTTGCTAAGTGGTTGAAATACTGTCTGGGTGAATGTTAAAAACACTTTTTCATGTGTTGTAGTGATTGAATATGCATAGCAGAGAGCAAATACCCAACCACGACACCTAGGCACATCAAACAAGACCAACCCAAATGCCATAAAGACAATAATTCGCAATACCCTCTTCACCAACATTGCCGAAACTATTGATGGTGGTTTTTACTGGGAAGGACTCGAAGATGAGATCTCCCCAGAGGCTATCATCACCTCGTGGACCGGTGAAAAGTGGCATAGAAATTCAAATAAGTTGGCTGCACATTCTAATGCCAGGTCTGTCTGTCTGTCTACCTGTCTGTCTCTGTGTGTTTGTCGATCTTTCTCTTTGTTTGTTTCTGTGTTTGCTTGCATTTATTTATTTTAGCTTCTTCCTTCTCTTGCAACATTCTCAGGTATTGCGTATCCTACAAGGAGTCACCGATTCTCGATCCCAACTGGGAAAAACCAGAGGGGGTACCCATTGACGCCATCTTGTTCGGCGGTCGTCGGCCCGATGGTTAGGGATGTTTTTTTTTTATAAAATTATCATTTTTAAATTTTTAAAATCAGCTTTCTTCTGAGTTTTACAAATAGTTTTAGAAAATACTTCAAAGTGAGCTTGATTTGTTCCCAAATCATTAGGTGTTCCTTTAGTTGTTGAGTCACTGGATTGGAAGCATGGGGTCCTCCTAGGTGCATCCATCAAAACCGAACCTACCCCTGCCTCTGAAATGAAGGGTAACTAAATTTTCTTTATTCGTTTCGAATTTTTTGATGAATGTTAATTTCACTTTCATTAATCTATCGTGTGATTTCCTAAATGCATCCAATTGATTGCAGGGCCCATGTTGCACGACCCCTTCTCCATGCGGCCCTTCCTTGGCTACAACTTTGGTAACTACCTTGATTATTGGTTCGGCCTTGAAAAGAGCACGACCTCCGCCAGACCAGGGGGCTCCAAGACCCCTGCCCTACGCAGGCTTCCGCGACTGTTCAACGTCAACTTTTTCAGAAAGGACCCTGCCGATGGCAGCTACCTGTGGCCCGGTTATGGGGAGAACTTCAGAGTGCTGGATTGGGTCTGCCGAAGGTTGGAGGGTCCACCTGATGCCCCCGGGGCAAAGAAAACTTCCATCGGCTATCTGCCAGAGTTGGAACACTTTGAAACACGAGGTGGGCTGGTGTATATACATTAATGTTATTCTGGGCTCATGTGCACAGGCTTATTTTGCATCTCTATTTGTGAATGTGTTCAGAAAACATACACAGTACGAACAAACAAACATTCACACGTACATGCGCACAATTATACTAAGACAGACGAACAAACACTCAAACGTAGACGCGCACGCACACACACACACACTTACAGGCCTGGATGATAAAACCATTGCCAACCTACCTCGCATGCTAACAGTGGACAGAGACTTCTGGTTGCAGGAAGCGAAGGAGCTGCAGTACTTCTTCCACACACAACTCAACTACGACGTCCCGTCTGAGCTCATCAGACAGCTCACGGCTCAAGAACAGAGACTTTACTACGAACCTATGCCATAAATGCCCGTACTCTTGTGGCTGTTGTAACTTTAGTAGTAGCTGTAGTAGTAGTTGTAGTAGTAGTAGTTGTAGTAGTAGTAGTAGCTGTAGTAGTAGTAGTAGATGTAATAGTAGTAGTAGTAGTAGCTGTAGTAGTAGTAGAAGTAGCTGTTATAGTAGCAGTAATAGGTATAGGTAGTAATAGTAATTATAAGAAGAAAAATAATTAAAATGATTATATACACTGACATTAGTAATATTTATTGCTATCGTTTGGTTGCTTATTCTCAAGCCTATAGTTACTATTACTACTTTATATATATATATTTTACTACTATATATATATATATATATATATATATATATATATATATATTTTTTTTTTTTTTAATGTTTGATTGGCTATTAATAATAATAACAATAATAACAACATTACTGACGCATGAATTGATTGTTATTATTATTATTGTTGTTAGGAGAAATCTATCATGTCTTAGGTTTGTTGTTGCTTTATTTCTATCAGTAATGATGATGACGACGACGATGATGATGATGATGATGTTCTGGGAAATTCCCAGACTACTATTATTATCATTATTGTCATCATTATTATCATCGTTATTATTACTTTATTTTGTTGGTATTACAGCTATGAATATCGTTCAAATGAGGCCCAGCCAGATCCTATATAAACAATCATGTATGTTTACCCATGTGGGATGCTACAACACCATCATCGCGGTGATCGTCATACGTCATAATATAATACTCTGACGTCACTGTCATCGTCTCGTTTCGTTATTTTATTCATTCCTCAGTCGATCAATCTATCTGTCTACTCCTCTGTCTGTCTGTCTGTCTGTCTATCTATCTATCTATCTATCTATCTATCTATCAATGCTAAATTAAAATAAATATTAATATTGGTTCGAAGTAGAAAGATATATATAGTGTTATGTGTTAATAAGAATGTGCCTTGTATATATATATTATATATATATATATATATATATATCCTAAGAATGTTATTTAAATTAGTGATTAGGTAGAAGATTGATGTGATTATAGATATAACGAGTGAATTTTGTTCTCTTAGCTAACATTTCATTGTTAAGATTAATTATCTTTGTTTTTCTGTTTTTGTCAGGGTCTAAATTATTATTATTATTTATTATTATTATTTTTTGATTTATTATTGTTGATGTTGATGTTGTTGTTGTTGTTGATGTTGTTGTTGTTGTTGATGTTGTTGTTGTTGTTGCTTCGTTATGTTGAGGATGATATAGCAACAGTAATCTCTCTCACTTATTTTCTTATGTTTCACCCTCGCCCAATCATATTTTTTTCACAATTATTTTGGATTTCTTTAGAAAGTAACTTTCATTCTGATGGATTGAAGAAGGATTTTTTTTTAAATTTTAGAATAAAAAAAAATTTGTATTTGAAATATCTGCGATCTATAGGTCTTAAAGAATGTGATGATCGTTACAGAGGGATTGTTAATTATTCCTATATAAATAATTTAACAATATTAATCATTTAACAATAAATAATAATAATATTATGACGATTATTATGACTAATGATATAATTGTTTGCTTTAATGTGTATTTCGAATTTTCAACAAATTATGAGATGATTTTTTATGGTTAACAATAAAAAATTGGTTGATAAATTTTTTTTCGTTCGTTCGTTCATTCATTCATTCATTTATTCATTCCTTCATTCATTTATTCATTCATTTATTCATTCATTCATCCCACTAAGTAATGTTAAAATTTATATATAACTCTAGTTGTTCCTCATAAAAATTATTTTCTTTAAAATGAAAATTTTGAAAAATTCACAAATACGTGTGATCAAATAATGAATATTGGTGTGAGTGTGTCTGTATCTGCGTGTGTATGTTCGTCTGTGTGTGCGTGTGTGTGTGTTTGTGCGTGTGTGCGTGCAGGTAAGTGCGAACGTAGTGTTCGAAACGAGTGCAAGCTTTTCCCATCTTCGTAATTACTATTTTTAATTACATGCATACACACACATACACACACACAAGCAGACAAACAGCACACATACACACGCAGACAAACAAACGCACACTCACACATACATACACACACACGTGTATATATATATACATGTACATATATACAGCAACAAATAGTAACAATTATATTTAGTAATAAAACTGTCAATTTCGTACATAAATACTTGGCTTGTTTGCTATGTCCACACATCTTTTTCTCTCTTTTTCTCTCTTTCTTTGTCTCTCTCTCTCTCTTTCAGTTTAATAATAGCATTATATATATATATATATATATATATATATATATATATATATATATATATATATATATATATGTATGTATGCAGATACATAAATGTATTGATTAATCATGTATTTATGCACAGATTTTGTTTATTTTGATATATGGTGATTGATTGAATGGATGGATGTGATGTGTTGTCATTTATTCATTCATTTTTTTTATTCATTCATTCATTTACTCGTTCGTTCATTTATTTATTTCGTGAATGACTGTGTTGGTTGTTCATTTGCCAGGAAATATGATGGATTGATCGGAGAATCAAAAATAAAGGAGTAAAGATAAATTAGTGATGGATTGGTTGAATGAATGAATGGATGAATTGATGAATGAATGGATGAATTGATGAATGAATGGATGAATTGATGAATGAATGAAGGAAGGATTACGAATGCTCACATAAGAGAAGGAATGTTTCAATTGTGGAAAAATGAAAAAATAATGAGTAAATCATAAATATAACAATACGAACACACATAAATACACACACAGACACACATAAATATATACACACACACACAGATACACACACAAACAAACACACACACACATATATATATATATATATATACATATATAATTTGTATATAACTACTATAAAAATTAATTCCCGACAAAAAAGTCTGGTATGATGAAGTTATGTAATGGATGGACGAAGGAAACTCGTCAACGAAATAGCAAAAATATTACGAATAATAATAATATTTATAATATCAATTATTATTATTATAAATAAATATTATTATTATTACTATTATGTTCATTCTTCATTGGCTTTATTTTAACACACTTTCCCTTAGTTTAATCCTATCCACTTTTTCTACCAAGCCATTTCAGATAGTGCGGCATCCTACATTCTTTTTACTAATTCCTCCCTCTTTCTCTCTCTCTCTCTCTCTCGCTCTCTCTCTCTCTATCGATCTATCTATCTTCCTTTTTCTCTTTTATTTCTTCATCTTTCAATCTTTCTATCACGGCCATTTTTTCTTCCTACAGTCTCCAGCTCTCTTGTGAGTTTTTCTTGAGTTTTGTGTTCTTTTCAGCATATAACTTTCCTTTTAACTAATTTTCATGCTTCCAGGCTACATTTTTCTATTCTACTTTCTTTTTTATCTCTTTCTTTCTCCCTCTCTTTCTCTCTCTTTTTCTGTCTGTCTGTCTCTCTCTCTCTCTCTCTCTCTCTCTCTTTGCCTCTAACTCCTTCTCCCTAACTCTCTTTTCAGTATTTCTTTTTCTTTGTTAATTTGTCGTCAATTTTTCTTTGCTTTCTTTGTTTTTTTTTCTCCCATTCTATATTTTCTTTCTTCCTCGCTATTTTTTTCTCTCTATCAACTTCTTTGTTTTTCTCTCTCTCTCTCTCTCTCTATTTTTCATTTTTCTCTTTCTCTCTCTCTCTCTCTTTCTCTCTCTCTTTCTTTCTTTCTCTCTCTCTCTCAAGATGGTAACTGTTAAAGAAGATTATCAATTTAATTCACAACTCGCCGAGAAGGTTAAACGTGGTTGAAAAAATAATGATGACGATGATGACGATGATGATGAAGATGATGATGAAGATGATGATGAAGATGATGATGATGACGATGATGATGATGATGATGACGATGATGATGATGTCAATAGGCTGTTGTTGATGATGATGATGAAGTGTAGAAATTACCAGAAGCTCGAGATTACAAAAAGCTTTTTCTATTTTAAATTTACAAACTGCGTGTATTTAAGGCTTTTTTCTCTCTCACACGCAAGCTCACGCACACACAATTACATACACACACAAAGAAACAAACACACACACACACACACACATATATATATATATATATATATATATGTATATAAATTGTATATATACATATACAGATTGTATATATACATACAAACCTATATACATATATATTTGTATATATATATATTTATCATGCACATATATATTACACAAACAGGTACGTATATATTTTTTGTCGTGTGTGGCGTGAAGTCACACACCTCGTTAAAGGAACGTTATAACACACTTTCTATCAATGTCACAACTTTTATAGATATATATATATATATATATATATATATAAAGACACATATACATATATATATATATATGTATGTATATGGGTTGCTAATTTATTTCAACAACACACGCAAGCTTAACAACAAGAACAACAACAAGAGCTGTTACGAAGTGTGTAAACATCATCATCATCGTCGTTATCACTATTAGCGCGGTTATTAATGACGTCATTGTCATCTTCTTCTTCGTCATCATTTTTTTCAAATGTTTTTCTTGTGACAAAGATTTAACAAATCTGTCTGTACAACA